CACACACACACACACACACACCACACACACACTCGCTCCACATTATTTCTCTGAGTTACCTAATACAATGGCCTACCATTATTAAGAGCCTTAACTACTTTTATTTTTAATTTTATTTTCTTATTAGGGCCACAAGACAACAGGGAAGTCCTGACAAATCATTAGTTCGGTTAGAGCTAACAATTGTCAGCATTTTGGTAGAACTCAAATTGCATAGTTTATTGGGTGCTTCAGGCATCAGTTCTTGAAAAGTGAATTTCATCAAAAAATGGAATCTGTCTCTTATCACAGATAATAGATCAAAGCTTTTAAGCTTTTATCTGAAAAGTAAAATATAAGCCTTCTCACAGGAAAAAAAATGAGACTAAAGCAAGATTCATTTTACCGAAGAAAACTACAAGTTAGGTGATACCTAACCAGTGCAATACTTTGTCATCTTGTTAGGGTTGTTCTCCAGGGCAGAATGTCATTTCCAATTATATCCAAGCTGAGCAGTGCTCAACTATTGCCAATCCACTCACTGGAGCAAGTGGAAAGAAGCACAGACCTTTATAATCTTTATAACTTGAACAAGTTGAAAAACACTCTTGACCATAAAATTTATTGACATTAATCACTGACCATTTGTAAGTAAATGGAAATACCTTCATCAATACTCAGGCCAATATCAAAATCCAACTGGAAGACATTTGGTCTATATAAATAATACTAACATTAGCTACTGAAAAAGAAATACAGCAATAAAAAGGAATAATAAAAAAGGAGAAAAGAAGGTAGTAAAAGAAGGTTAAATGAGAGATAATTAATGCACTAATATCAACAGATTAAAGTTAGTAAACCTTTGGTTTTTCCATAATGAAATGGTTCCATATGTACTCTGAGTATATTCAACCGTATTTCCTGTCTGTTAGAGGGTCCAGAACACTAAAAGCAATTACTTTCTTCTGTAAGTCTTGAGAGTGTGGTCTATTCTGGGGACATCTGTCTTGCAGTAAAGTATGAAAAGAAATGAAAGTAATGCAAGGAAATGCAAAGATGAAGAAAAAACACGTGCTTCTGTATTATACTCAGAAAATGTAGGCATCTGTGAAAAACAACCCATAGAAAAAGGCATAGAAGGTGATTCATAAATGTTTGATATAATAAATAAAATGTAAGAAATTACTGTTCTAATTAAAAAATGTAAAATGCTTATTTCAAAAAATGCTATTTACATGTTGATTTTGGAATTTAAGTTAAAGAACAAAGAGTAAGAGAAAACCTTTAAATTAGGGATGATCACATTACATTAAGGAAATAATTGTTGGTCGCAAAGTCAGCTGGGTAGGCTGATGTGTACACTTTAGTACAGTGTACCTTACACAGTCCGGGTTGTTAAACTTGTGGGATTACTCTTGTTGGATTTTAACAAAGAAAGATTGACTAATATAGGCATTATACTAAGATGGTAGCAGCTATTGAACACTTAAGTAATGAGTGCTTTAAAGCATTCCAAAACCTAGCTCACAGGAGCCCCCTGAGCTACCAACTTAATAAACAGTTGCAGAAACTGAGGTCCCAGTGACATCACATAACTTGGATAGAACTGTAGCATTCTTAATTGACAAATGTAGATAATGGGCACAGTGTTCTTACCTTCACTGTTATTTATTTTTGTGGGACAACCTATCTTAACATCCTGTCATAAAACTGTTTAATTTTGGTTATTAAACAAAAAAAAATCAGCTTAATTTTTAAAAAGGAAATAAAATATGTGCATATGTAATATCTATCTATCTATCTATCTCTGTATATGAAAGACTATATTAATCTTAAGAAGAAATTGTTACTTACATGTTCTTTATATCATCGAATAAATCAGCATGCCATGTGTCTGTGGAGAAATAGGTGCTATTTCTGCCACTCTATAAATTTTATATGTAATTTTAGGTATGTAATAGAAAAGCCACAACATCAGTCTGGAAAAAAATGGGTTTGTGGTTAAAAACATTGACTGCTCCTTTAGAGGATCTAGGCTTGGCTTCTAGCACTCCAGGAAACAACCATCTGTAACTACAGTTGTGGGGACTTTGATGCCCCCTTCTGGCCTCTCCCCAGCACCAGGCACTTCATAGATCCATGCAGGCAAAGCATACAGAAAAATTATATTAAAATTAAAATTTAAAAGAGCAACCACAGCACTGATATTCTTTATTTTTATATATATTTGCTTTTTAAGCTTTTAAGATTAATCCCAGTCCTTCCCCACACACAAGGCTTCTCAGCTTCATCTCCAGTCTAGCATTAATATACTTTAATGTCTGACAATGACAGATTTTAGCAATGTTTGAGTCTTGTTCTGAAAAGCATTTTGCTCATTCCACCCAAATATTTTACTATTCATCTAATATATTTTAAGAAGTAGGATCAGTCCAGCTATCATCAATAAGGCAAAGAATTGTATTCATTGATCAAAGGAAAAGATAAATTTACTATTCCTACCCCTTCCTCCTTATTTCCTTAAATAATAACTAAATGATTGAAAACAGTAGATACTTTTGTTTTCGTCATCATGTGATTAAAAAGGACTAGAACTTCATTGTATTTCTGAAGCTAAAATACCAATCTATCAGAGAGTCAAATATTTGCATGACCTGAAACCACCATAGGTGAAACACTTTAGGACTTTGAGATGGGCAAGATTTTTTTTTCAGGAACAACATAGCCAAATTACAGGAAATCAAAACAAGGATAGAATGTGTCAGATCCAATGAAAATGTGTCTGCAGAGTAGGGAACAACTGGAATGAAAAGGCAATCAGGAATATTTGTAAACTAATTGTCTAACAAGATGATGATATCAAAAATACTTTACATACTCAATAACACCCCTCATTTGGTTTAAAATTAAGCTAAGCTCGTTAAAATACACGTACTGATAAACTAAAATGTTTCTTAGCATCCCTGTTCTACAGAGCAAGATCTAGTTTTGCTGTAGCTACTCCATCAGCAGCTCACATGGCACCCCAAATCTGTTAGTTCTTGGACCATGTTACTTGGCCTTTTTTACTTTTTCCAGAGAACAACACTTTGTACAGCACTTGGAACAACCCAACATCGTTAAAAAAGCTGGGGAATCATTATTTACCTTAACACAATTTCATCACTCCTCACATTATGTAATGGTCACAGTATGCCTACAAAAACTGTGTCATGAGGAAAATATGCATTTCACAAACATTTCCATTTCTTCTCATTTACTCACTGATTTAGAAATAATATTATCTGAATGTCTATTTTATCCACAGTATTGAGTTAGGAACTTAGCAAGATGAACATTTACAGAAGAACTATTTCCTAAAGATATTACTGTTTGTACATTAGGTATTTATATAAGTAATTAAAGATGATATTAGGGGTGAAATTAGAAAAAGTAAAGTCAGCTGAAACTATATGAAAAGCTCAGCCAGATATAACTGTATGTCTGTCAGCAAGTGATATTTTAGGTGACCTTTGAAGAAAAATAAAATATTGATGGATGTGAAGAGTAATGTGTAGAGAAAAGAAAAAAATCAATGATGAAAGAATCATATGGTAAAAGACCCCATGAAGAAAAATGGACTTTAAGTCTAGTGAACAGAAAGGCATCAATGTATATAGAATCCAAGATGTCTACAGGGATGAACTCAAGTAAGTTACTAAAAAGGCAGCATGGTTCAAAGCCATGGAGGCTCATGAATAGTGGTATAAAGATATAAGATGCTTTATCAAAGGGATGGAATGGAAGCCATGGGGTTTATTTAGCAGGAAGTACCATAATAAAGCAAAACCACACCTACTGTTTTCTCCTAGATATCACCCTTCCAGCCAATCCCCACATTTTAACTTATTAATTCCTAGTCAGTTTGGTTCAATTCTCCTGGAGGAAGCTTCACATCTATTTTTTTTAAGCTTTCATGTTTTGTTTCTCAAGATAAGCTATGCACTATTTTCATCCTCCTCTTTGTATTCACATTACATATACTTTAATGGTTCCTATGTGATAATCATAACTTGAGGCCTGATAAGCTAGAGTCAAATAGAAGGGGAGGAAGACCTCCCCTCTCAGTGGACTAGGGGAGGTGCATGGGGGAGAAGAGGAAGGGAGGGTGGGATTGGGAGAAGAGGAGGGAAGGAGCCGGGATATAAATTGAATAAATTGTAATAAGTGATAATAATAAAAATATAAGTTATGTATTCCCAATAAAGAGATTTACAGGAAGTAAAAAAACATCTTCATTTGACATGAATTTTTTTATCTGCTCTGTTTTTTTGTTTGTTTGTTTGTTTGTTTGTTTGTTTGTTTTCTAGTATGTGACTTCTTAGGTGTTTAAGTTGTTTGACAATATGGTCAGAACTCGGTAAGAAAACGTATCACCACTGCAGAGTTTACACTAAGTAGACAAGAGCATAAAGTTAGGGAAAAATGCTAGATGGTTACTATAATATCATAGGAATTGTGAGAAGATAACATGAGAAGGTGAAACAAAGAAGTAAAAAAGGAAAAGGAAAGAAAAGAGGAAGAAGGAGACTAAGTACAGCTGACTAATGGGATACCAACATGAGGAGTAAAGAGTTGGGAATAATCTCATGAACTTGAAGAAATTTTGCATAGCCACTATAAAGATGACGTTAGTAAACAAAAAAAAAAAGAAACTTTTTTAAAATTTTTTTTTGCGTAGAGTGTCTACTGCAGCATCCACTCCTGCCCATATCTGTAAGCCAAAAGTCCTTTATATAGAAATGGGGAGGCTATGTCTTCTGCCTTAAAAACCTAAATTTATCCTTCAGTATTTTATGATGTCTGAGACCATGAAACTAAGATAGAGATAAGTGTACATCTAAGCTGATCCTTATATAGAAGCTTCATCGACTATTTTCCATTAATTTCATGATTTGAATGTTTAGAAATTCAAGATGTATTTACCTCTGCCTCAGCTAATTCCAAATTAATTCTGCTCTTCTCCCTTTGCTTTTCCATAGTATGCTGTCTGGCTGGTCCTCTGGGTGACATGGAATGTGTTTGTTATCTGCTTCTATTTGGAGGCTGGGGATCTCTCAAAGGTAATTTGCCATCTGATTTCCTGAGTCATCACTCCTGTGTTAATGTATCTCTTCCTAAGCAAGGCCAAGTCTCCCCCGGCACTTGTTTTCTAGATGCTGTGGGTAAAGGGAAAGTGTCCTCATTTTTACCTCTGTGCTTCTATAATAAAAGCTATGTTTGGCGAATCACAGAGATGTGATTTGTGCTTTTTAGCAAAATAAATGTGAGATATGAATTATAACACTACTCATTCAGAATGGCTTTGTAACACCCAAGAGAATTTTCTAAGGCCAAATAGGATATTTTTCAGAGACAAATACCTTTATGAAATCACTTCATTTTTTTTTGTATTCAACAATGTTTTCCTGATTGAACTCAAATCATAGTACAATATTTTAGATAATCCATAAACTGTTATCAGAAAGAAATAACTTATTACAGAAATGAATAGAAATAAATACATTATTCTAACATAGTCTAGCAGACATAAAAATCTTGCTGTTTTCATTGTGATTTCCTTATTTAATGTGTGTGAGGAGCACTGATGTATTCTAAAATGAATTCATTGACTATAGAAATAATGTAGTTTGCAGACCTGCTGGAGTACATTTAACAGCAAATAGGTGAAATGAGGTAATTTATTTAAGTGAATCTTAGCTCTGGAGATTATTTCCAACTTGATTTTTCTTATTGCCATTGTTGGAACACAGATTTGTGACGTATTTCTTTGCTATCACTACATCGCATCAGTAAATATCTGAAACATATCTGAGATCTTTGAACCCAGGACTCAGAAGAAGAAAAGGTCTCTAAACAACACTTTCACATACCTATGTATCTGGTCAGGCTGGAGCAGTAGGCGGTGGTAACATATATGTAAAAGTTGGACAAAACACTCAGCATGCTTAATGGTGTTCACTTATCGTTTAACCTGTGCTATGGGTTTATATCAAATAGAAATCATTTTCATTCATTTGGTTCAGTGGCAAAGGATGAGAGAAATTAAGAGTGGTATTATGGGATGAGGGAGAATCCATAGATATATTCCACAATCGGTTTGGGGACTGGTCCCTCCACGTCAGCCTGGCAAATGACTATTCTGTGGTTTGTCCAGAGAGTCATTTTGTATGCTGTGGCAGCAGACAGGCCATTTGGGAAGGGGCTGTGACCAATGGGTAGAAATTACTCTGGATGCTCCAAGAGAAACACATATGAAGCTGCTGCTTAAAAGGCAGCATGCATTCCCAGGGAACCTGAATTATTCCCCCATTTATATATCTCTGCTGCTCTGTAATTCACTTTCTTCACAGAAATTCCACATTAGAATGACGTTTAACAGCATTCTCCATTGAAAATAATCACCAAAAAAATGTAAGTCAAGTGCTGGGAGTATTGACAGAGTCAAATGATTCAGCAGACCAGAATTTGTTTAAAAGAAAAGCACAGAGAAAGAGAATTGAAGCAAGCTGGGTGCACAGATGTTCTCTGTAAATACCAAACTTTCCATGTGTATCTGCAGAGACGGGTAGAAATTGGGATCTCATGATTTTAAACAGGAGCATTAAAGCATTGTAAGGGCACATCCTAAAACTCTATAGCGCAAATGAGCTGTGATCCAAAGGACTGAGGAATCTTATTCTCATGGGCATTTAATGATTATTAATCAACAATGAATCAGTTAACAGTATTTTCTTTCCTTTTTTTGTTTCCTTTTATATCAAGGCTTCAAAGCACATGCAAATTTAGTCATCTCCTTTTAACAAACAATCTAAAATAAAACCCTGAAGGGCTGAGTCCTATAGTTATCTGCTGTGGTACTCTTTCCTGCTCTAGGGTTTTGAGAAAAGTCTAATTCTTTGGTTGTTTGTTGTTCACACTTGGTGTGGAGTACAAGGTGAGAAGGAAGTGTTCTTGATGGAAACGTTCAGATTCATGAGAAATCAGTAATTGCTCTGGTGAAACGGCCTGTAGTGTCCACGTAGCACACATGAACCCTCTACAAAGCCAGATGGTGTGTCTACACCATCTGAATGCCCCATTACTTGCGTCTCAGGCATATGTACAGGAAACAGAATAAGAGAAGGAATTCAGTGAAATTTACAGAGAGACAGACGTATATTTTTCCATAAGGTAGGAAAATAGGCAAATACTTACAACAAATATTGGCAAGAAATGATGAAATTTATTTAAATATTAGTTACTTACATAGAAATCAAATTTTGGATTCTCTTTCCTGTAGGGTTTTTCAGTAAACAATTTTCCATGTGGTTATGAACTACATATAATCATGAACACACTGACAGTCTACAATTAGTAATTACTTGATTACAATAATATGATAGGTGAGACTCAGCTGTTTAAACTTTGGTTGTCTTTGTATAAATAATATGTGGTCAAGCCTATGAAAACAGAGAATTATTACTAAAATTTTGATGGGAATGTTATAAATTATATCTGTAAAGTACTCAAAAATGTAGTATTATTTTTAACAAATATGGAAACTGCTTTCCAACATTTCTGTTAAGATGACATGTAATAGGACTATATATTGTCATAACAACAAAAATCCACCCAATAACTATATCTACATTATTTATATTAATAGCTAACATGGTAGTGTTTAAACTAAATATCATCAAGTTTAATAGAATGTGTTTTTCCTGGAATTGTCATTTTATAGATGTCTTGTTTGGAAATCAAGAGGGGAAATAAGTTTTTAATTCAATGTATCTGGTAACTTTTTTGAAGTTGCCTTTGAGCAGTAAATGTGATGTGGTCCACTGTGTTAGTACTTTTGAGGCATCTTCTCCTGTAGTTTTCTTATTTCATTAAATCACAGTAGGCAATTATGCTTCTCTTAACACTTTTCAAGCAGAAATGAAAACTCATCCTGTCCATCAACTAAGTTGAATTATTGCAAAATGATGAAAGATATATATATATAGTCTATAGTAATTTTTAGGTTCAAAGTGCGTAATAGAACAAAAACACATGAATTGTTGTAACTATTTATTTACTTCATGACCTTGGATGAGAAAAATAATCTTCACAATAATATTCTAGGAAAAACTTACTGACCTGATTAAATTATGCAAAATGAAATTGTTAGATGTGAAATATTATAAGCTGCTCCAGTAAAAGTTGCATGTTACCACACCTGCTCAAAGGGCTGTTTTGAGGCACTCACTCCTATTCATGCTTTCTTTAAGGAAGTCAGGGACTGGTCAATAGTGATCATGTTTTATATAAATAAAACAATAAACTTATAGAGAAGGCAGAAAAGGGTATTAGTTTATACACAGGACAGGCCAATTTGTCTTTACTTAAAAGTTCAGACACATATCTATCAGATTTCCCTAAAAGTTAGAAATTTAGCTGGTGAATACAAGGCAACAATATTTAATTATACCTGATGGTGTGCGTTTGTGTGTGTGTGTGTGTGTGTGTGTACATGTGTGAGTGAGTGTTTCAGAAGTACATAAACGTGCCTTCTAGGATAGCTGTCACGTTTTGATGACCTTTATAGTTATTTCTAGGATCTAGATGTAATTTATTCTTCAATGTTGCCATATAAAAGAGCAAGGTAATAATACATCCAATACAAGCTTTGGGAAATAAAACTGTTCTTTTTTGTAAGAAGCAGAAAGAAGATAAAACCTGCCATACACTGAAGATTAGAAAGAACAAATCCTTAATACATAAATGAGTGATATACAGAATAATATACTATTAAAACAATTACAGTTTTCTTTTTCTATAACAAATAGGTTATTCATTTAGAGAGATTTCAATGGTTGTACATATTTATGTTCAATAAAATTAATGCTTATATTAAGTTTGTTCTCTATATCCTTGTATGTAAAAAGGAAAGGAGAGAAATGTTATTGATATTTTACTTATACTTAAAAAACTTATACTCATTTTTAATCCAAACATGATTATACACACCTATAATCCAAGCTGCAAGAGAGACAATGAGAACAATGGCAAAATCAAGGCTTGCCTAGGCTTTATAATGAGTTCAACATTATCCTGGGCAAATAAATGAGACACCGTGTCGATATATAAAAAAAAAACAAAACAAAACATAAAATGAGACAGAGAAAATGACTAATTTTGGTAAATATCAATAAGAAAGTATATTAAATCCATATGTTTTTAGGTTTTGCTTTCCTTGATGTATTAGTTACTATTCTGTTGTTGTGGTCCACACCAGATAGTATCTTTCAGAGGAAAGGTTTTGATAGCACATAAGGTTGCAGATAAGAGTCCAGTATGGCAGGTAGGCTTGGAGCAGGAAGAGGTATAGGGACTGGAGCAGGAAGCACAGAGCACAGACAGAAAAGTGGAAGTGACACAGCACAATTAGTTTCAAAGTCTGCTGGTATAACTCCTCCACCAAGCCTGCACCTCCTTAACTTCCCAAAGAGTGGCACCAACTGGATACCAAAGGCTACTGGGACATTTCTCATCACTGCTACTACTAAATAGAAAAAAAATTAAATTTTCAAGCATATTTTGCTTTAGGCTATATAAAATGGAGTTTTGATAGCGAGCACTAACTGTGCTGTGGTTCTTTTATAACACTAGAAACAAACCATCTTTTGATTTGCTTATATTCCTATTTATTAAACTCGGCCAATTATTTATTTATTCAAATTTATAGTTTTCCTTTTTTTTCTGCTTTCTTGTGATGTCCTTTAAATAAGAAATAGAGTCAGTGAACCTTTTTATTTCTTTGTCCACATTCTTTTTCTTGATAAATGTTATTTTTTTCTGTCATAATTTAAGTGATCATCTCTGAACACAATGTCACCCGGACTTCTATGTCCAGTGTTGACCTGTTTCTAAGTTGAAGTCTTACAATCCTATGATTTTTGGGGAGACATGTCCATTATATCGTCACCTTAAATTTAGTCTCCAAAAGGGTTCATCACCATCTCTGAAGCACTGAACATCCAAAATTCGCTACTTCTTAAATAAAATGTAAAATGTAAATTTCGTGTCAAAATATATTTGA